ACAATACAACGCCCCTCGCCCAGACGACAATAAAATATTCCTCACCCAGACGTCAATACAGTTCACTCACCCTGAGAATAATACAACATCCCTTATCCAGAGGACATTACAACATCCCACAATACAGCATCACTCGCTCAGAGAACAATACAAAATTCTTCACCCAGAGGACAATGCAACATCCATCATCCAGAAGGCAATACATCACAGAGGACAATACAACATTTCCCATCCAGAGGACAATACAAAATTCCTCATCCAGATGACAACATTCCTAATCCAGAGGACAATAAACATCCCTGACCCTTACCCAGAGAAAAATACAAAATTCCTCACCAAATGGATAATACAACTGCTGCGTATACTGTCATCTGAATATGATCTAACCTTTTTTCGCTGTCTACAAATTGAATGACAACCAGACATGTCAGTTTTCAGTGCAAATATGCGACTCTTCTCTGCACAGATCGCATAGCAAAGTACAAAATGCTAGTGTATGTTAGTCAACACATCAATCAACCTTAGAACAATGTATATCCAATATAGATCATTTCACATCTTCACTAACTCATGTAATATCATTATACTCATCTGATACTTCCATGGTTTATTCAGTTTTCTTATCAAAGTGCAATATCGTAGACCGTGCATAGCTCATCTTCGCAAGTTTAAATTATAGCTCTAACACAACCTAGAACGGCATTTAGTTTAATATTAAATGTAGACCATTCACGTCTTCACTAATCTAATGTAAGCATTACTCTTACATAGTTGATTTTAGTTTAAAATGTATCATAGATTATTTCAAATCTTTGCAAACTAAATACATATCGTAATTTTAATCAAACTACACCCCATGAGTTGGTTGACTTTAGTATTCAGAACATATTACGATTCAGCATGCTTTAGTTTTGGTGAATCCACAATACTCCGGGAAATCTATCTTTCATAAATATTTAAACTAAGAAAACAATTGTTCTCTTCTAAATTTGTGTTTCTTGTCTTGCATTCTATCTGTAGTTAATTCGACATACTTCATAAATAATTCATTTCAATTATCCGGCAGAGGTGTCCATTTAGACGTTGGGTGGCCGAATGGTTAGCATGTGCGCGCTGTATCATGAGGCCGGTCATTGAATCAACTGGGGTGGTTTCGAATCCCCAGTTTTTCGTGACAAGGAGTAGGGTTGCCTGCCCAACCTCGTGGGTTTTCTCCGGGTCCTCCTGTTTCCTCCCACTGCTAAAGATCCCTACGCACAAGCGAATTATTGAAATAAAATTAAACCATGTTAGTCTGTGTCGAGTGGACGTTAAACCCCATTTCTCTCTCTCTCTCTCTCTCTCTCTCTCTCTCTCTCATTTAGACGTTGAATATAAGAGATCTGGAAGATTTCGATGGAAAGTCAACCACCCTGTTTACATGCTAAACCGCTAATTAAACTAACCCGTTCAATATAAATAAATCATTTAGCATGAAATTACTTAATAATTCTAATTAAATTATTATCAAATTATAAAAAAATTGTTATTTAAACAAAGATTATTAATAATAGCATTAATAGTTGTCAGAAGATTTAATGAAAATATTTCTAATAATAACACTGTAATCATTATCCCGTCCTTTCTGTTATGTACAATTATTATAAGCGTTAGAAAAAAAGCAAGATTCGTAAAGCACAATAAAAGATATTGTAATGAAGAATACTGTGATGTGAAACACCTAATAAGAAATCAATATGTATACATTGAGTATTAAATAATGTTCACTGAGAGACAGGGTCAGATAATAGATCATTAACATAGCGTCATAACATATTGGCTTATCTTAATTCGAAGAAGTCACCTTATTATTTACCTTATAGATAAATCTGTGAATGTCTAACGGATCGTAACTAACAACGAGATAAATATTGATCATTGCTAAAAGGGCAACGAGAACAAACAGTTAATAACAGTATCGCAATTGCTGGGTGGAGATTTAAGGTGTTATTTGTCACAGTAATTAACCCAAACTGAGCAAGGTTTGTCTGACGCATAGTTTAGTGGAGATAATCTTAATTGTGAAATAAACAGATTGATAGATTATCGGAGATTAACGCGTTAAAGATTATTAAGATTGTGTGTGACCTTAGGGGTTCATTAAAATATATAGCCTTTTATAGTATATTTTTAAACGTATTAAATCAAAATTAAGAATTAAGTATAAAGTATGAAAGATCAACGCACCAAAAAGAATGTTTTGTGTCCTTTCATATTTGCATAATATATCTATAATTTCTTTAGCTTAAGCATATAACAACGACCGCGAGTGGTATATCGACAATGACATAATTATGCAATGTCTCGTTTCATAATCTTAATGCAACATAAAAAGGAAGGGGCACAAAACCTAAGGCTTTCCCTCTGGCAGGAAAATATGGTTGTTCGTGCAAAAAATACATGCAAATGGTGAACATAGATGCTGCGAGGTATTTCCAAAAGCCGGATTACGAAATAGTCAGTAATAAGGAGAGGGCGAAATAAACTGCACATTATTCCATACTACCGAATGGTTTCCCAAACCAACCAATCAATAGATGTTGGAGAACCTCTTTCTGGAACGAAAACATGTTTGGTATCTTTCGTGGAAATCAAGCGAAATGGGTAGTCCTGAATAAAATGAGGTTGACTTCTCGTAAACATTTCTTAACAAGTCGATTTTCTAAATTTTGTTGTTCTATGCTCGCTTTATTTCTGTAGAATAAATGCGGAGATGAGGACACTGAATTCTAGTTAAAATATAGAGTTAACGTCCGGATAAAAACGTAATTATAGTGTAGCAGGCTCACTTCCCCTTCCACTTAATTTAAAAACAACCATGTTTATTTAGCACGCAGAGAATTTTAAAGCACCAAATGCAGTGACATAGAAATAGAGCCGGCGTCGTGGCCATTTGCTGTTTAAAAGTTATTTATTCTATGTGATAGAACACATAGCAGCCGCCAATGAGGCATAATTATTAATAATACACAATCATGACACTCAAGTAATGTACACAATCATTATACTCAAGTAAAACACACAAACATGATACTCAAGAGAAATACATAATATACATAATAAACCAAAACAACACACAATTCTCAAAACGGATTTACCGCGTTTTGTTGATTTCTCATAATCTTGCACTGAAGGTTTTCTAGGCAGACAAAGTGCGGTCAGCTGAGTGGGGAATTCGTGAGTTCCTGAAATTGGAAGATCATCAAAGATTTTCATGTTTCATGTGTTTTGTTCAGTGCGAGCTATATTACCGCTCCCATACATATGGTCATATGTAAACATCTTCACCACTCCTATTTGTATCACTGGTACCATTCATACAATACGGTCTTTTAGTACGTCTGATTTTATCCAATCCGTGCCAGAACTACACCACTCCTCTGTTTGTAGTAATACCTTTCATGAACCCAACACCTTGCCCCGTCATGTGTGTCAGTACCATTTGAATGCAATGGTACATAGTTGGTGCATGTTTTAAAATTGCATTTTAAAGGGAGCGTATACCTTTTGATGATATAACATGCTGTCTGAACTAATCTCTCATTTCGATTCTCCATTTTTAATTAAATGCATTCACGGGTAAAAATAATGGTAAAACCAGAGCATGTGATCGTGCGGTAGTCGTGTGGTTTGGTTTGTGGATCAGGTATGCGGAACTTACAAGGAAGTGTATGTATTGTTTGGGTTTCAACGGGGGCTGGAAATGATAGCCTATTCCTTATAAACTACGGGGGCCACGGCGGAGAAGTGGTTAGACGCTGGCTCGTTAGTCTGGAGGTCGCGTGTTCGATCGTTGCGTTGGCCGAGAAAGTTCATCGGGTTTTTCCGGCGTGTTTTCCCCTTGGCAGTGGTGCAGGACTAAGGGCCTGATAAGGACAGCTGTCTAGTCGTTCGGGTGGGACGAAAAACCGATATATCGTGTATACTTTGGCATGCATGTAAAAGTGCCCTTGGCAGTTGTATCTTCGATATAAGAGTAGGCCATAGTGCCGCTGCCAGGGTAAAATTTCCCTCATAGCACACTGTATGGCGTATGCCCGTCTTCATTAGACTAGTCAGAGCAGAGCAGTAGGAGGTTAAACACCTTTTCACTTCATCTGTATATTATTAATATAGACGTGATAAAAAAAAATCCAATTAAGTTATAAGCTGTTCGTTACGTACACGTTCAGTGCAAGATTAATGCGTTCGAACTCTGTACATGACACCTATGGTACATACTTGCATTATTTATAGCTAGTTGTACACACCTACATATCATAAAACTATTTTATTAATAATATTAGGTTGACGTAAACGATGTTTTGATATAAGTTTCATTGCAGCCATAAAAATAATTTATATACTCAAACATCAAAAGCCCCAAAACATCCGATTACAGCAAAACGGCCGTGTCTTTAGGATAAAATAATTAAGTCGAACATATTCGCAGTATTATATCACTTTAGAAGTTTGCTTTGGTATCCAATAATAAACCCCCAAATAAGTTTGTTTATTTAATTGGCCATGAAACAATAATATTTCCCGCCTCGAAATCTCTGAATTGGCATAGTTCTAGGAATTGCTTCCTGCAATAAGATAACATTATTTTTACCAGGAAAGGAACAGACAGCGAAACTAGACCACTAATTGAGTGAGTTTCGATGAACAATCTATTTTCGTTTGTTTTCCAAACGCCCACAAACTTGCATGGGCAAACAATGACGGTCAGTCAAGGTTCCGTTTTGTTAGAAACAAAAACAAAATATATTTTACTCATATCTACCTATATGCAATAACATGCATGTCTCATCATGACAAATCATCGCAAGATTTGTAACTCGGGCAGATCAGAACACGATTTCTAAAGACCTAGAAACTAGGACATTGTTTAGCCAATCAGATTCAAGTTTTTCTCGTTCGAGCCACGCCCCCATGGTATATAAGCTCATAACGGCCCACTTATTTTTAGACTACAGATTTCACTGTTGCTAAATAGACGTTGTGTTACTACACTAACGGTTTTCTTTGTGTTTTATTGTGCTCTTTGTTTGGATAATTTTAATACATCATGACTTTTACTGTATTTGGAGAAGTTGTAGCGATGGAGAAATTAGAAAAGTAAGCACAAATTTATATTTTATAATAATTTTATCAAGATATATGCATATGCTTTCTCACACTGAGAGATATAGGACAATATTCCCATCTGTCAGGATAAGGTCATACATCAGTTCTGAGTAGAGGGCAATGGCTTGGCGCTTGACCTGAACTTTTGAGTTGCTGCAGATATCATTTAAATATTTCATTTTTGTTTTTTGGCAAAATACAAATATTGAACACCTGCATAACTAGCAAACGAACTTATCTTTCCGCCCTACATTATGGTTGGGTCAGCTCGGTGCGTTATGATATTTCACGTTGCCCAATCTTAACTCCTCTCTGTGGGAGACCATATATGCTTTGGTTGCTTAGATGTCCACACAGAACCAATATCATTGAATATCAGACTATTCAAATTACGCAATGCAATGTTGTACGTTTGTGGGATGATGTGGCATTTAAGCCCACGTAGGTCAGACAAATTTGTAACTTACTTATAGGATTATGAAACTTCTCCTTTTGCACATCGGACTTATTAAACAGTGTTACATAAGTAACAATGAACTTATATAATATGAAATGCAACCATCTCTCTTTATATAATACAGTAACATATTGCATTGAATAACAGAGGGCGTTATTTTTTGGATACGTTTTAGGTTCGCATTGTAGTGGGAGTCAAAATCGATGCTAAATAATTAAAGATTGACTTGTCCGAGAGTGCGTTATCGTTTAACTAGCAAATAATGAGTTAATTGGTGCAATATTAGTTCAATTCAAGTAGACTTTGCGCTTGAACATTGCCATTACATTCAATTACACCCCGTGACCACTGATCTCAACATGAGTTAACCGATTTATCTATATGACGTCACACTAACACGAGGTTTGTGCCACGCGCCAATTGCCACAAGTTGTAAAAGACTGTATGTACCCTATTACGCCATAACACATTTTCATGATAGATTATAAAGTAATTCAATGCCTCACTTAATATTTCTCTAAATAAGAATGTGCAATATACCCTACACCGTTAAAATCACAAACACCTCTTAGAAAAAGTTAAACAAAACAAGTGCTTTGTAATATTCAGCGATAAATATGGTACACCAAATATTTTAAATCTCATTTTAGAATGCACCGATTAAGAAATATAGACTAATGTAGTTCATATTTTATTTTTGCAGAAAATCTGAAACCATAGGTGAGGTTCTTCAGGAATGCCTCTGGCAAGCTGTTGATGAGGAGCGTCTGACCTTTGGTGTCTTCGAGTGCGCTAAACTGCTTCACTGGTAAGTACATATTTATTACTGATAAGATAACCTTTATTTTTTAAAACAAAATACATTTTATTAAATCGTTTATGGATTTTAATTGGTTAAGTTAGTTGCATACCTTCGCTCACATATTTCGAATATTTAAGACATTTTTCTAAGGTGAGTCAACACTTAAAATTCCAAACTTAATTCTTTCAAAATTTTTTCTTACAGTAATGCTGAAGATGTGATGCTATGTGTTTTACCCGAAGCTGGTAGTGAAAATATTGCTGTTCACATTCAACACACACTTATAGAAGCTTTCTGTTGGGAAAACGATATACGAATTCTTAAGGTAAATTTTAATTTCTTAAGTTAATCAAATTCTTACACAAGATAGAGTAGCTATATTAGTTTGTCGTTGTTAATTATAACTTCCGTAATCTTAGACGTACTACTGTGGAAAACATGTTTTTAACGACTGCTTGTGCCAAGGTCATTCATCCGTTAAATGCGTGTTTACTGTGTTATCAAGAAATAATTATTGAATTGTACAAAAGGCAAACTATGGATGTAAATTTAATTTAGATTAGATAATACAAAGAATGAGAATAAAATTGATGTATTATTTATAGTTTGAACATATTTATCTTTCAGGTCAAGAATGCGCCACATTTAAGCGAGAGTTTATCTACATTTAAAGATGGCGTCAAATCCCGCAGTGTTCCAGCAGACGTGAGCTGCATCTTGGTGCAGTTTCCTAAAGATCGATTAAGCTATCAAGATGAAAAAATATTTGATTTTTATGATGATATGATTTCTGATGATATCTACCCAAAACCAATCATCGAATTACCCGTGTGAAGATCTAAAGATCATTTTGGAACTGAATTAAAATGGTGAGTTTCCATGTTCAAATCCAGAAGTCATTTTCACTTTCGGAAATCTGGTTTTCTGACTAGTTTCATAATCTCAATATAGAAAGTGGTTTTTTAGAGTCATAGCCTAAAATAGATGTTCATATATTTGATAGTGTCAGCAATGTTTATTTTTAGTTATTTAGACTAAACAATATGTTTGTTTATCTTTTTTAGATGGATTTCTCCAAATCCAGTATCATCATAGCGAACGAGAGTCAACAAACTCGTGCTTGGTCAGAAAAAAAACATGAATGTACCAATGAAAGACAAAACCTGAGTGGTGGGCTTGTAAATCCAGCAACCTATTGGTTACCATGGACATCATTCGATTGACAGCTGATGCAATCACTCTTAATAGTAATAGTAATAGCCACCACGGCAATTACGGTCTGCTAAATGGAAAGATCCAGATAAGCTGCTTGGGTATTTCTTAATTCGAAATAGAGATGAAGTCAGCCTGATTTTCCGAAGCAACACCTATGATGGGTCAACTGTTTCATCACACCATAATAACTAGTTACAACCATATCGACATACTACCATCTTGTCTTGCGTGACATCATCAATTGATGTGCTCATTGTCGTTTTGATAATGTGTATTACGAAACATTTGAAGCATTGTTCTTACTAACTCAACCACCAAAGAACATTGACAGCGATTAAAGGTTGTGAAACCTACATCAAACATTTAATTGTGCAGGAATACAACAATGTAATGGAACTATTAAATAATTTCTTGGAACCCAGAGACTAATAGTGTATCAGTGCTACTGAACTCTTTTATGTTATAGTGCTTTACGGATGCACGTAAACAATACACAGACCATTGGTCTGGACGTTATGGCACCTCGTGATTCCTACAATTTCTATAATGACGTAGTATAACTATCACCATATATGGTACATAAGTCATTGTCCTCTGCAGTTGGCAAACTTAAAACTGATGTATGCTAGAGTTGACTATAAAGTAGAGGGGAAAAATGCTATAATATTTTAAAGACTTCCAAGAATGTGAAACACATTTAGGAATGAGTCATGTAGGCTCTGTTATGTATTATTCTACTAGGTCACAAAATCAGCTGTTTTCTGGTACCATGGCAAGTGGTGCCACTTTCTTAGTCTAACTAGGTCAAAAACATCATGACAAATATTGTTTAGACATTCCAATAGTTTTATGTCAAGGTTGTTTACTGTTATAGTATGGATATTTCTTTGGTTGCCATTAGAAATAAAATCATATACTTTTATGCAGATTTTAATGAAAATACGTTTTAAATAATGATTTAGTGTTGTATTGAAATGGGAACAATATCCATGAAATAATAATGAACTGTGATATTTTCTCAAGCTTATTTTTGACATCCATTTACATAATATATTTTCATGTACCTAAATGCAGTAAATTGTCCGTCCATATTGTTGCCTGTTTCATAAACGCGGCTAATAATTAAAGTGTATTTTAGGTTTCGTAGATATTTTAAGCTATTAGAGATAAGTATACTTGTATGTATATTAAAGATGGCTGTCTTAGAAAAGAGATGAATTTGCGAGAAAATTCTATTTGCGTTTCATAGATAGTACACCTGTTTATCAGGATTGTGCTGCGTAAATGATTTATCTAATTATGCGTCTTACTTATAAAAGGGATTACAATATTAGCTGCTGATCTTAGATTAAAAAAGACAAAGCTTAAAGTTAATTACGTTGGGTTTATAACTTTCTGCAGCTGCAAGCCAGACTTTGTATTATTTGTTGTATGTATTCCAACAATAGGTTAATTGATATCTGATTATGGAACATAATTAAATAGTGTGTACGTGATTTATTCTAATGTTATGATTTATTGTTATTTATGAATAAATTTAGTTTCTAAATATAAATTCATTGTATCTCTGTTGTCGAGGTTAGTGGGAAGGAATGGGGTTTAACGCCTCAGTGCAATACTTCGGTCATTTTGAGACTAACATATGGCATCACATGCAAAGGGGGTGGGGGTGGGCGTTTCCTGTCATTCTTCATCGAATGCAATCTTCCAAAATTTCTTGTACGTACACACCCAACTGTACACAATTGGACCTCGGGGTTCTGTAAGATCCGAATGGGCACATCTTCATGCCAGCCTCCACTCCCCTCTGACATTATAGTCTAAGGGCCGGTGCCATGTTGCTCGACCACCGCCGCCAAGGTATGTTATTGGCTGAAAATAACATTGCAGCCACCAGAATGGTTTGGGGCTTAATTCCAAACCTTTTGCAAGTAAGCCTGATTCGTGCACTGGCATTCTTAATTCATACACGATGCTTTATATGCTTTCCTTTGCAAGCTAATTCCAAGAAGGATTCACGTATAGACCCATGTCTGATTTCTGGGCCATCAATAGGGATGGAATTGCTGTAAAATGATTGTATTCAAGTATATATGGCTATATCATGGAATGGATATATATGACGTGTACTAAGATGACGTGCAATCTTTTGGAAACGATTCCAGATTCAAGCTCAGGGAAAAGGATTCCATGATGTTATATTCCACCCCTTTCATTTACACGTTCACAGAGATATAAAATGCAGTGGTTTTAACGACCAACAAGGCTAATAAAACGCGTAATGAGGCAATGGCGGAAATGTTTCCCGGGTTACGCCGGTTAGTGGCGTTTCCGTCTACTCTTCACCCAAGTATATGCTAAAGAGTACACGAGTAGACCTCAGATCATTATGGAACGACTAGACTTGTCAGATCATCCGTTCTGCCCTACAAACAAGGGGAAACCAGGCTGCAAAACGAAAACGATATAAAGGGAACTTGATCGGGATCGAACTCTTGACCTTCAAGTTAGTGAGCCAGCTTTATACTGAGCCACGCTCCTCACTAGCCTGGAGGTCGGGTGTTCGATCCCGGCATTGGCTGAGAAAGTTCATCCAGATTTTCCGGCGTGGTCCCCCCTTGTCAGTGATGCAGGACGGAGGGCCTGACAAGGACAGCTGTCTAGTCGTTCGGATGGGACGAAAAACCAAGATCTCGTGTACACATTGGCATGCACGTAAAAGATCCCTTGACAGTCGCAATTCGATAAGAGTAGGCCGTAGTGATACTGTCTGGGCAAAATTTCCCTCATAGCACATTGTAAAGCGTATGCCCGTCTTCATTAGCCCAGTTCGGAGCAGAAAAATAGGACGTTAAACCCCATTTCATTTCATTTCCACCTTCAAGGTCATTTCAGATACTGGATGTTCTCTACTACTATGACGGAGTCACGGTGGTTCAGTGGGTAAGAAGTTGGCTTGCTAACATGGAGAGCCCGTGTTCAATCCCTGCATTGGCCGAGAAAGTTCACCGGCGTGGTTCCTCCTTGTCATGGTGGTGCAGAACAGATGGGAACTTAAACCCGATTTCATTTCATTTCAGTTGATTTCTACAACCAGGAAACTGTTCATACCGCTTATAGCCAAAGGTGATTTCGCAGACGAACCTTTATTTAGTTTGTTGTCGCGGAAAAACCGGAGTAATCCAAGCCAAATACACTCAGACCAGGGATCATGCTTACTAGGTCACCACAACACCGAGTATGGAAAATAGCAGGTTTTCAACTTTCAGTCTGTAAGTACACAGTCACTTTTTACTTCCTCCCATTTCAACCAATACAATTCATGTATCCTTATTCAAGGAATAATAATGAATAGGCTAATGTTTTTATCGTTCTCCGATATATCAAATTTTATCAGTCGTGACTGACAGAAAAAATATGCAGACGACAGAAATATTACAGGTCTGTTTTGATACATTGGAATAATTTAACGGGCGCAACATATTTAGGTTATAACTAGGGCCTATTAATCAAGTAGGGCTCTTTCGCTCAACATTAGCACAGTCGAAGTAGAACAGTAGGACGTTCAACCCATTTCATTTCATTTCAATTTCGCCCAACAGGTCATTTTGGCACCGACATATAATCAATCGAGCAGAATTCTGAATATAATATAATAAGGAAAGCGAATGAATGACCCGGAGAAAGCTAAGATGCATTTGTTAGTAAGAACCCCTTTCCCCATCTACCACCGGACGTAAATATGTTTAGGATAAAGCACGAGACTGAGGTTATGTTGGGGAATGATAGACTGAAGAAAATAACCCGAGAAAAAGAAAGGTTTTATTCTGAAGTCTTTCTTCCCTAGCATAACCGAAGTTGAAGTTTATCTTCCTTATAACCCATCTAAGTTTACATGTACGTAAAATGAGAATATCCAAGCATTCCAGTAAGAAAAACCTTATATCATGTTTTCTTCTGGCTAAAAAAACCTACCCTGGAAGAATAACCGGTTACAGGTTTAAAGAAAAACTTTCAGAAGAATAACCCCAAATTCCCCTGTATATCATATTCCTGAGGCGACGGCCCGAGAAAGCCCTCTCTGGCCATTGCTGGATTGGCATCTAATACTTGAGCTTTTGATGTGGGAGTGTGTCTATTCTTCCCGTTAAATCAAATCTAACCTAAGTACAGCGACATGACAGCCGTTCGTTTAATCTGTGGTCTTCCCTAAAACTTTGGACAGTGATTTAAACATACATTATGCAAGAGCAAAATCTGATTATTGCAAGTCTTAATTTAGGCTTCAGATGTTATAGAAATTATAAATTAGATCTTTATTTAAACAACAAGCCCAAAATCAACTCTGTAGACCCACGGATGGCTCGGCTACAGCTCGGATTTAAATGGGATTTCACTTATTAATTAATTCAAATATGGCGCATCCTGATGAGAATGCGTCAGTTAGATCGAGGCTAAATGATAAAGTGTACTTAGCGAGGCCGCTGTAGAGCGTTTCCGCATGCAATTGAACACTTTACTTGATAATCGAGATATGTAGGTGGAGTTAACGCCTGTCAATCAAACGATCGGTCAAGGTGAAAGCACATTTCACTACCATTTCTAGTCAAATATTACAACGATGATAACTATGTTCAGAATAAAGTAATTTGACTGAAATTTTCAATATATTCTTCTTTCACCATCTTCTTTTGAACTGTTATAGCAAGAATGGCCAATTCTCTATAAAAATCTCCCATAATGTATCTTTAAGGTATTAAAAACGGTGAAAGAATTGTTCGTCTCCAAACAGTATTTTTTTTATATTGTATCCGTGTTGATAGCCTCGTTTGCCACGCAATTAGTTTTTCTGCAATATTCTGCTATGCACTGGTTAATAGGGGATAATAAAAACGTGAGTCATGACGTAACTTTATGTAAACATATTTGGTCCAATTTGGAGCTCTGTTAAAAGCGTAATATATAGTTACGCAGTTAGCTATTGGTTGTTAATCGAACTATTAACCAGTCATAATTTGGAACAGAAAGGAACAGAAATTTGCTTCCTTTACAGCAGTGTTAAGTGGGATTAGCACTAATCAAGCGAAACACTGCAAGGAATATTCCTGTATACATTCAAAGCCGCCTTCGACTTTCAGACCGCAAGTTATTTCGGGCATAGAGCATACCTCAAAGATCAAAGAGATTTACCGTTATAGGTTTATAAGGATACATGAACTTTATTGTTTAAAATACATTTCTATTCCCTAATGGCCTACCGCCTGCTACATGTAAAATATGAATCATGTAAAATAAAAGCAAGAACTAATGATATGTATTACAAAAAACAAAGAAACAGAAATAGTTTGATGCACGAAGTCATTTTTGTTCATCGTCAGTATTTCAAATTGTTAGTGAATCAATCAATTCACTGAAATTTGAAATCATGTCATGGGTGGATTAATGGCCCCTTCCATCAAAATATTACACGCCCAGTCAAGAATCCTTTATACACCCACACTCACCCACTCCGTTATTGCTGTTGAAGAAGGAAACCTCCTCGATCAAACAAAGGTATTGCAAAACCTGTCTGCCATGTTGCTTCTAATAAACAGGGAACTTGAAATGTATGCTTGTGTGTAATTACTGTTTGTATATTTCACAACATGGCGTCTCTTTTTCCAAGCTCTACAACAAGTAACCTTAGAAACTTGTCTCGATAGGCTTTTTAAAAATGATTTCAACAGCTCCGTGTGTAAGTACCACGCCCACCTGAAAACATTTAATCTAAGATTCAATTGCTGTTATAGGATTATAAGAAAAATCAATCATTGCATAAAAAACCTCACAAAGTTATGTGCATAATTAAATAATAAAAAGGTAGATTAAAACATAGGCATAAAGATATAGTTACAATAAAATAAATGATTTCAACAGCTCCGTGTGTAAGTACCACGCCCACCTGAAAACATTTAATCGAAGATTCAATTGCTGTTATAGGATTATAAGAAAAATCAATCATTGCATAGAAAACTTCACAAAGTTATGTGCATAATTAAATAATAAAAAGGTAGATTAAAACATAGGCATAAAGATATAGTTACAATAAAATAAATGATTTGTAAACAAAAGGTTCTAAGCATTTTAATAGTTCTACGTTTGTGTTCAGCATCCATATTGTTGGGAATCGTTGAATTCATTAATGCTTTTTGCAGGATGTTAGTGAATGAATTTCATGAATTACCACCTGGCTTTCATAAACGACCTTTACCATCGAATTTAATGGAGCTAATATAAGTCTCTAACTCATTATTTTTCATAATATTCGAAATACAAAAAACACGAATTAGAATCCAATATTGACCAATGTAAATCAATATTGGCGTTGTTATCTTGCCGTGAAACTATAGGATCCTAATATCCAATATTTAAGACACAATTAACATTATTTAATCAGTACACGAGTCGTGTACCCCATGGTTTCGGGTGCCATTTTGTAATGAACAAATAACAACATATCCTACAATACAATGTGGAAGTAATTAGTAAAGGCTGATTCACAAACGACAAAATAATACTTTTAAAAAAAGTGTAGAATGCACTAAGCAAACGTAAAGGACTGCCGTTCAAATTGAACTGTTCAAGTATTTCACTGAACATAATTGATTAGCAATTACGATATTTGTTTTTCAAAAATTGAATATAAATTACTTTACATACATTCATATTATATTAATATGTGCTTATAGAACCATTTTTGTCTATTTCAAAGTTCCAAAAAACAGAGCTATATGCCCTTTAACATGTTTCCGTTTCAATTCTTTATTTTTGTAAGCTTAATCTCAGACTTGTTAGCGCTTTTCTAAGTTGTTTTTTTTTATATTTAAAAAAGCCAAAGATAAACAAACAAGGTGATTATCCTTACAAATTATGTTATTGGAAAATAATATAGCATATATAAAAAGATTACGCCAGAGGCTTGATGAACATTATAGAGTTAATAATAAAAATACTGCAGGGACCATTGGTTAAAAGGCCAGTGAACTTCTAGTTAATGCCACCAAATAGAGTGTACATCTCAATTAACTATGAACTATTTTCTATGCACAATTAGTTACTATACTGGCTACATTTAAATATCACTGGTTTAAATTAACCTCAAGCATTTTGTACTGGATAAGGACGCTATAAACAGAAATACAAAAGTTGAATATGTACAGCCATAATTGTTAGTTATATAAATGTTCCAAATAAACGAGCATAGTAGTACCGAGTGTTAGCAATAACAAGCATACCCTGCCTCTGAACAAAACTCGTACATGATGTGACCAGGAGTTTGAAAGTCAAACCACTGGATAGAATTAGGGAACCCGTGGTAAGTGGTCATCATTCGGCTTACAAAGGTACAATGTATACTTTCACTAAACAGAATTTTGAGATTCCTCATTATTGTTTAGGTACATGACCCGACCTCTGTTCACGTATAATATCCAAACAATGAGAAATCGGCCTCTCAGATTCAACGATACACGTGTCCATTTTGATTGATGGCCATATTAACTTGTAACTATTGCTACATCATATTGTAGTAAAAGGTGTTCATCGGATTTCTTTATTGAGGGTGGGCGTTTGACATAATGATCGCAATAATTATTGCGTTTTACTGGGTTTGAGAAAACTCATTAAGGTCTGAATATAGCTAGCTTTTCTATTCTGGAAACAAAACGCTAAGGGTAGAAAACACATATAGACAGTCGTGCTTAAGAAAATATTGATTATATTTGAATATAATATGTCCTTTCTAAAACCTATTATGTCCTTTACGAAACCTATATTTTCATAGTTTAGAGGGGGTGTTGGGTGGCTGAGTGGACGATCGCGTGCCTTTCAGCTCATATAAGGTATGCTATCATAAGGCACGCCGGGCTCGTACGTGGAAAGCTTAATCCCGTGGGTTTTCTCTGGGTATTTCAGTTTCTTTAAAATACTACTGAACTCGAAATGGCTTTCATGTCGAGGGAACGCACCCCCCCCCCCACCTCTATCTGTAGGTAACGTTCGGGTGACACTTTGCAATTTATATCAAGTAAAAATCATATATAAGTAACAGTGCATGCAATGTATCTTTTCTGATTAGAGAGAAATCGGGTTTAACGTCCACTCGACACAAACTAGATCATTTCGGGACTAACACATGGTTCAATTTTATTTCAGTATTTCGCTTGCGCGTAGGGGTCTTTAGCAGTGGGAGGACCCGGAGAAAACCCACGAGGTTGGACAGGCGACCCTACTC